TTTTGCATGGTCTTTACTAACCAGCGTACGAATAAACCCGAGGCGGAGCTGTGGAAATGCTTTGCAAAGGTGCGATGATGATGATGATGATGATGATGATGATGAGCGGCAACCGGTGCAGCCACAAAACAGACACATGTCTAAGTGACTGTCAGATTCATAGCTAACTGGTACGCGTAATTGTGAAACTGAAATGATCAATGATCTGTCAACTCATAGTCGCAGTCAAAAGGCGCTCGAAGTAGCACACTTTTCCAAAACGTCCCCCAGTGATACAGCCAAGAAGTCCCGTAGATCAGTTAGAAAAACTCGGCAAGTTGCCTTGGTGACCATCCAGGCTGCACCGACTGGCACTATCTCTATTTTTTTCCCCCCTTCTCCCATCTACATCTATACACTTAAATAAAAAATCTAACCTATCTTTCAAATATTCAACAGTCCCTTTTGCCTGGGAAGAGGTAGGGAGCATTGTTGAATAATGCAGCCAGACAGGGATCTCCCAGAGCTGGTCTCTACAGGCATCACTGAGTAGGTCTGATCCCACTTGAGTAGCATCTATCGTGGTGACATCATCATTCACACAAGGAGATATGATAAGACAGTAGTACACTACTCTAATACTTGAGCCAACTCTAAAGCAGGCAGTGGTGTTACTCATTTAAACCAATCTACTGGCCATCTGTTGATGCTAAAATCACGGTCTGACTGCCATTTCTAAATCAAACACCATCAGTATGCCTTTATTGCTTTCTACCGAACATGTTTTTTTTGAGGAGAAAAAAAAAAAGAAGAAGAAAAAAAGGAAAAAGAAATGGTAGCTTGTGAGACACTCGCATATTCTCTTTTACCTTGTGTGATTCTGGTGGGTGTGTAAATGTAAAAACCACAGGGACAAGCGTCTACGGAAAAAGAAAAACATCTATATGCAGCAGCGGCGGCGGCGGCAGCAGGTTTCTACCTTGCAGATTAGGGCACTGGGAGCACTTTGCAGGTTGTTGTCACAGGTATGACGAGGGAGAATTGGGCCCGCTATCCCCAAGTTGCACAAGGTGTGAACAAAATATGCAGCCAATTTGTTGTGTGTGGAATTAGAAGAGGGAAGAAGAGAAAAAAAAAAAACAATGCAGGTTTATGCTTTGGTTTATCTATATCCGTCCCCCTGCTTGTGTTGGATGGATGTTTACATGTAATTCAGGGATATAGTGGGGGGGGGGGGCAAAAAAAAAAAAGAAAAGAAAACAACAACAGTAGCTCGGAGGTACAACTGAACACGTATGTTCTGGTTCAAATGGTTATTTTAAACCGGACTGCGAGTGACATCAAATCAACAACTAAACACCAGACACAGCATCAAAAAGAAACTCGTCCAATCCAACAAGCTCAATCAAATCACAAGGACAAAGAGAGAGTGTGAGCATTGGCACAGGAATTACCAATCTTGGGGGAATTGGCAAGACCAACAGCAAGCAAGTGTATTACATATGGCGTGCCATTTTCACAGCTTCCACAAAGAGAACACAAAAAGTGTTTTATCTCACTATCTAAGACTAATAAACAACCAGATATGCTGAATCTGTTCGATGCTGTAACAAAAGGCTCGAGGTAACCGGAGCTCGCGCAAGACTTTTCGGTTCATATCCGAGCTTAGAGCACAAGCGAGACGATAAGCCGCGTAGTCTGAGCTGAGCAAAGGCAGCAAATTAAGCCGTCCTCCCACTAATTCTATGAGGTGTCAGTCAGGAAACTGGCCTGCCAGGATGACTTTCAGCTCTGATCAAGCCAGATGGTTTCTTAACACTGAATAAATGAATTGATTTGTATGTAGCATCTCTAACAAGGTTCATATTCTTCTACACATGACACAAAGGTGGGAAGCATGAGAATAAGAGTTGTGATCCGTTAACCCCGAAGAGGTTCATTGTGAATCTCTTTAGTCCTGGTAACATGAATATGACTAACGTCTTCGCAGTGTTTGTATCTGTTATGCTGACAAAGTGTTAGGACGAGGCCTTTCTCGTCACAAATGTACACAGCTCACACCTCAAATGGTATCATCTTCATCCCAACCCACTCCACTTTATTACTATCATTAGATGGATCGCTGCACTTTCCCTATGGTGTGAACCGCTATCAATTATGCAGTCATCTTTCAATTATTGTATATTGTGAAAGTACCTGCTAATGAATCGCGAAACTACCGTGTTATGGTGTGATTGTACTGGGCAATAACCAGCTACTGTACACTTAGGCACCTTTTTCAATTACATCTGGGTGGTGTTTTTTTTTTTTTTTTTTTTTCAGTCATTAAGCGCATTTGGTGCAAGGAGGTCCACCTTACACTTAGCCAAAGGTGTTTCTGCAGTTGCTGTTAGCCAGCAGCATCTCAGCCCCAATGCAAAACCACTGCTCTGTGTAAGAGGACTCCAAAGACAACATGAGAGTACCCACTGTGATTTTCACTGGGGATTTTGATATTCACACCTGTACTAGGTGTTGTTTGGGAGTCTGATAAGCATGTGTGGAACCAGAGGGGTGACTAGACTGGGGACCTCATTTGGAGGAAAAGATCCTTTCCCTGATACATCTATGGAGGACAGCGCTTGCATTTTCACGTACAACAATGAGAACGGACAAAGCTAATCAAGCACAGTGTATCTTAGCTACCAGCCATGTGTCTAATTGAAGCTGCACATGGCCATATGGCTGTGTGCGAAAAATAGAATGCCCAATAGCTACATAAGGATTCAAGCAGCAGGTGGAAAAATAAAATATTTCCAACTTCAGTGCCAGTCTGATAGTTAAAACAGCTAATGAACTGAGGGTTTTTATCTCCAACAGCAATTCATACAGAATTCTACTCTGACAGCAAATTTACCAAACGGCGTATAAGGCAAAAACCATTTTCTGTACATGAAGAAACCACAGACCTCATCATTACAGGATCAGAGGCTGAAAAACAAAGCATGGGAGTTGCTCCTCCTTTCTCCACACTGGTGATGTTCAGAGGCAGCCTGTTATTGGAGGTGTTAATTGGCAAATTCAGTACAAGTCAAGAGCATGTTCCCTGTCGTCCTCGCCCAGGAAGGCTAGGTCATTAAACCAAGAATGGATTCTTTCATGCTGCCTTAACCCTTGAATTGCAAGTTACCATTCCGCAAACATCCCCATGCTCAATCCCACCCCCATGTGTCAAGGAGAAAAAAAACAACCTACACTGATTTCGCTGCGACAATAAAATAACAGGAGGATGACATCTCGAGAGCCAGACTTTCGGTTGTACAGTTATTTCAAATTGGCAGCCAAGTGTCTTCAAAAAGTTCAGAAGTGTACAAATATCAACACTCCAGCCCTCCACCAGTAAAAAAATAAAAAATAAAAGCAGTCTTCCATGTAGCGGCTGAACAATGTGAATTTCAGAACAATGGCATCATCAAACTCCACTGATCAGTGCTTTTGTGTTTTGTGTATTGAACGGACCTCTCATCCGCCTGAAATGTGAGCCTCCTCTGGGGTTCTGGGTGCGATCTCACCACTGCCTCTGTCATCACTTGCTGTGACTGCCAAATCTCTGCTCCAGAAATCAGGGCTCTCAGACCAGCACTGAAACAAACACAATGGAGAGGGGCCGTTCTGAGACTTTGCACAGGCAGCGATGGCTTCAACACATTTAATCGAACACAAAGTCAGCTCCACCGCTTCTGCACAGAGAGCAATAGGAGTCCAACGCATGGCAAGACAACTGTGAGGTGATACTCTCAGCTCGCGACGCCATGAGAGTTGGCAGTCTCTCCTGCCAACGGTGACCAGTGCACAGGCAGTTGAATATGCTTCTCTCCTAAGTTGTTAATTATCTAAATGACATTGATGTGAAGAGGGCATTCTAGCCACGTGACCTTCATCCACTTGCTAGCTCTCTGTTGTGTTTCGATTTGATTAGACCCTTTAACAATCTCTGTTTTTTTTTTTTTTCCCACTTGAGTTATATTTTCTTGGCAGTGGCACAATCTAACAAACACCGCTTAAACATTTCAAACTGTTGAAAATAATGATTTCGTGGAATGACGCCTCGTCTGTCCATCGTCTGCTGCAATTAGAATCCAATTACTGGCCAATAAAGAAAAATGTATGTTTGTTGGAGTTGAGGATTTAAAAATGACCCCAACAAACAGATATTTATGTATAAAAAAAAAACAGATTGAAAATCTGCTTTTCCTGTCATTTATATACGCGTTGGTAGTGATGTGGCTATTATCGGTGTAAACAAACATCAGAAGCAGGAGGAAATGAGTTGTTATCCACTCTGACTCCTCGTCTTTAGGCCTGTTTGTTGGTACTAACAGGTTTCAGTACTTTTTTGGTGCACATCTGGACTGCACAATTATTTAGATGAGATAGAATAGAATAGAATAGAATAGAATAGAATAGAATAGAATAGAATAGAATAGAATAGAACTTTATTGATCCCTTTGGTGGAGACCTCAGGGAAATTGCTGCTTTAGATTTAGATTATTTGAATTTTAAAGGTTCTTATTCAGAAAGAAAAAAATCCCAACTGCATTCTTCATCTTTGAACACTAGTACTGTTGGTGTCAGCAGTGTTTGTGAGCATGTATGGTATTAAATTTACTCTAAACACAGCTGAATGTATCTGAGGGAGAGATGTGCTGCACATTTATAAACTGGCTTTCTTATATGTACGTCAGGATACATCACAATGTGCATGAGAAATCCAATTAAAGCAATGATTTCTACTGAATTTACAATAAACAGAATCACATTAAAATAAAACTTCTAACATAGTGTTTTGTTTCTTTTTGCCTTCCTATAGGACCTGTTTACATTCCTCGTGGTTATGCTTGTAATCCTCATTTTTTCCGTCATCGTCATAGTTAATCTGAACTTTTTAAACTTTAAAATATATTTCTAGACAGCAGATGTATTCAACCATTAGCTAGTACACACGCAGCAGCCGGCATTAAGTTACACTAAAACACATCAACTTATTCTTTCTATTTATTATTCAAACTTTTAATGACATACCCTACACGCAGACTGTGCATTACACCACATAGCGAGCTCATATTCCGCTTTATGTACAGAAAAACACTCTCAACACTCCCGGTGCAATCATCTTGCAAGTACAAGCTGATAACACAGACCACAGAGATCAGTCTCTGTAGGATAACCTACACGCTCAAATCAGAAGTGGTAGAGTGCCAGCAGATAAACCATGCATCAGTTTCCTCCCTCTCTTCCAGACTATAGTCCCCTGAAGCCGGTGACTTCCCTGTCTCCCCGAACTCTCTGCAGCACCGACTGGTGGTGCAGAAGCACTGCTGATTAGCATGCAGTAATGATGGTGAGCTGGGCTCCATTGTTCTAACACCTCCCCTCTCCTCCGCACCAATCTGTCACCATTCAGTGGGCTAGAGCTGCCTCAAATGCTTCTCTCCACAAATGAGATGGATAATTAGTTGCCCCTCACGAATGCTGCACTCTTCTCACCCCTGATTGCTTTCACCTTCTTGCTCCTGGCAATTTTGACACCTTGTAATCAGCCTGCTACTTCTCCGTCTCAATCCATATCCTTCTCCTTTTTTTTTTTTTTTGTCGTCCGCTTTCATTTTTTTTTTTTTTTATAGCTCTTAAATCTTGTTCAAATCTACCAGCTCTGGTAGCAAATGTCCCAAGGACAAAGATGGATCTTACACTCCGCTGAAAACGACAGCAACAACTACGCCTTAGAGCTAAAGTGGAATTTTACCCCAACCGGTCACATTACTGTATACACGAGTAAATATAGTGTACGGAAATACACACACACACACAAAAAAATCTAGCTGTCAGAACGAGTTTCCTCTTCCAAATAACAATGAATGACAACATAATTATGAGCAAGCAGCTGTTCATGATCCCAGAGAGAAAAGCATGCAGGCTGCACAATGTTCGACTGTTCACAGATTAACCAGAGAGGATCATTAGGGATATGTATTTGCCAAAAAAAAAAAATCTGAATAAATTCTCCCCTCAGTGCTCATGATGAGGTGAAACGCAGAATTATTTGGTTTATGTCACTCCAAAATAAACACGAATTATGATTTACACATTACATTAGATCAATATGTAATAATCACCTTTGTGTATCCACCAAATGGCATCTGTTTCCACTACTTGCCTTTAAGTAGATAATGTGCTCTCCTATGGTAGCCTAATGACTCATTAGTTGAAAATAGCTGATAGTACTATAACGTGACTTTTTTTTTTTTTTTTACACCCTTTTGATCCATTTATGAAGCACGGAGAACGACTGAGCGGCATACATCATTTAGGGTCGAAAGTAAGAAATCAATCAGTCCATTAAGAGTGTTTGATTATCCAAAATGAGTTAAGACACTCAGCGTTTGTAAAGAGGAAAAAAAAATAAAAAAATGTTGTTTGTAGTCTTCACACCAGCTCATCTACCCAGCGCAAGTGTTACCAGCCCAAAGCTGAAGGTCTACAAGGGCCTCACTGCTCAACAAAGTGTTCCAACACACAGCGTCCCCGTTTCCACAAACATCATCACACCGAATGGTGAAAATCACGGCAATGTCTTGTCAAGGTGTGAATAAACGCTGCAAAAGTCACGAGTCGATGCTACTGTTTAAAAAAAGATTCAGGTTTAGTCAAATAACAGGTAATGCACACACAGTGGAATGTGTACTTTTTTTTTTTGACACAGTGAGCGGGGTTTTTTACAAATTACTGTTCGTGTTTTTAACCTCTATAAAATGCTGTGAAATTGTCATAGTTTTCAATCTTTTTTTTTTACAGTGTTGCTCATAATGTAATTTAGATCTGGCACACCTACAGTCATTACTTTAAATAGCATAACTGGAGTGAAATCCTCGTATCATGTTCGTATAAATGTGCTTCCGTAAATACAGTTCAATGCAAACTTTATCTCCACAGCTGGCGCGGTAATTTGGCGTCTAATTGGAAGAGTGTCTGTGCAGACAGTCTTAATGAACACATGGTATAATAACTTTACAACCGAGTTCAAAGTTGGAAATATCTCAAAACCAAGAATGAACTACAGCTGCTGAAGCATAGAATGCAGAAGAAGAAGAGGAATTCACCTGAAAGTAGTGCTAATCAACCTGTCCACCAATCTCGAAAAGAGAAATTGATGCATATTGTTGGCATTTCTTCTCCGTAACATATGGCGGTTCGATGAGATCTCAAAGCCAACATAAAATGGGGGCAAAGGTGTTCCTGCAGGAAGTATTGCAAATTTCCATTTCGAAGCAACAACTAACATTAACAAAAAAATGTAAATAGCTTCAATTAAAAATGTATAAAGACGTTAAAGAAACAAAGCTCATAAATACACCACCCTGACCGTCTGATGTGTTTATGTATGGACGTCTTCACTGGCTCACTTCTATATTATTTTTATATTCGCACGTTTGAAAACAATTCAAATGCTAAAAATTGTTGCAAGAGTAAATGTCGGTTTATTTGCTCTTATATACCATATGCATCATTGTAAAATCTCAGCGTGATATTAGAAAAATATAATGGGCAAAAAAAAAAAAGAAAAAGTGTACCATCAAATCTTCAATATTAAATAAATGGATTCAAGTCTTATTGCAGTGTCATTTCAGATCCAGTACAGCGCTTGTACTTCATGGCAGGCAGGACTAGACCATGAAAACAGTAAAAGTCTTGAAGTAGTTGAGGCCTTCGCCCGTCAGTCTCTGTTTCCGCTGTCAATCGTCGGCTTCATTCTTAGGAGAGAAATGCAAGTAGAGGTGGCTGTTCATACGGTCCTGAGGAACCACAGCATGGCAGAAAGCACATTTATCCGGACTGCTGCTCTGAGGCGTCGCCAGCTCTGTCCCCACGTCAACTGCATCACACAGCTCAGGGCTCCAGACAGGCTGCAGAGCAGAACGAACCAGAGGGGGAAAAGAATGGATTATTTATACTCCAAACAATCCTTACAATGACTCCACTAAAGTGTACCGGACGGCCGGGCCTTAAAGTATCTGTTGCTTTAAAGAACACAAACACGCAGTCGGAACAAATAGTTAGCAGCAGCAAACACAAAATGCTTTTCTCAAGTGTTTAATTATCTCACTAGTTCTGTGTTTATCCAAACTATAATAACTAACAAATGCCCGTGTTGGCGGTGTCCAGAGATGGAGCCATATAATGAAAAACTGGACCAGCTTTTAGATCTTACTGCAGGTCATTCACAATTTTTATTTTTTTATTAGGCTTTTATACACATCAGCAATAAAAAAAAAAATAAAAAATCCCACTTAACCATCATACTTGTTTCATCAGATTCAGACACTGTAATGTGCTTCCATCTGGCTCACACTTTCCAGCAAAGATGCCAAATATAACCAGAGCATCCATGCTTAAGTAAAAAAAGAATCCGCACACATTACACACTAATACGTTTCAAGTTTAGCCAAAGGGATATTTTTGGACTTCACACTGTTTCACTCCTCCATTAGCGGAGACCAATCAGAAACTGATAATTCGCTACTAGTTTTCTCAGACCTTCTCCTGTGATTCTCACCTGCTGGGGTCCCCGCACGCTCTCCTGGGAGAGCGAGGATGATGTTGAATGGGAGGGGGATGTGGGGTAGACAAAAGGCATGGGCAGTTCCACGGGCTCCTCCTCTGTCAGCGTGGAGGAGACGCTGCTGAGAGGCCGCTTCATGGGCATGGTCAGACCAATGTGTCTCTCTGGAGCACTGTTCAGGAAGTCATATTCACTGTCCGCAGAGGGTGGGAATTTGACACTGAGTTTGGTGAGAGAGTCTACCAAGTCCCTGTCCTCCTGGCAGACGCCGCGGGACGCTAGAGATGCAGGCAGGAGGGGGGCATCGGCGGCTGATCTCAGAGCTGCGGAAAAGGGTCGCTCTGCCTCGGCGGTGCGATCTGTGCACTGGATGGGCATGGAGAACCGCTGATCTGTCGGACGGCAGAAAAACACCACATTTTACACAGATCTCTCGCCAACGTGCAGATGTACTCCACGTCTGGCTTTAAGAACATTTGAACTTGACCCAAATTTAACAAGTTGACAAATAGCTGCAGATCATTCCTACTCTAGTCCTTTAAACACGTTTTTACCAATCAAGACATCCACATACACTCTATAGGTACAAAACAATGAAATGTTTTTCTCACAATTTACATTAATATCTGGGTTATTTTTTTAATTGTACAGCTACTATCCAGAGCTAATGTCACGCATTTCTCAGTGGTATTATTAAATTTGTTTATCCACATTATTTTCAGAGGTGGCCAGCCATGGTTCAAAAAGGCAATCAGGCATCCGTGTACAATCCTAATTATTAAGATGTTGTTATCTCATTAAAGAACAAAGCAAAAGTAAACTCGTGAGCCGCTACACAACACACAAGCCTGCTTCAATTTGACACCTTTTCTTTAAAGCAACCGAATTAAGACAACAAAAGCCTCCAGGTTCAGGCTGTGCAAAATACAAGGTAATATGTAGTAAATATTAATATTACCATTTGATGTATCACTTCCTCCGTGGAATCTTTTTAGGTGATCTTTTTGTCTTCTGGTTAAAGACCGAATCTGTCGGAATTTGCCTTGAATTGCGTCAAATGCTTCCAGCATGTCCTGACTGACAAATAAATAAATAGAGCGTGAGGGGAAAATATCCATTCTTAAACTGTAATGTCCATGATGTTTTGTTTTGCTTTTTAAAAAAAAGAAAAAGAAAAAAAAGGTCTTGCAAGGAGTGACACATACTAGTCAACGCTGCTGTTGACTGGCAAATTAGGAGCAACAGCAACAGTGCCCATGTTCTCCTGAAAAAAGAAAAAAAAAAAAAAAAAGACACATTCAATTTATAGCGATAATTAACAACAATTATCCCAGGGCATATTGTTGATACATCTGCAGCTCTATTTATACATCACAGATTTATATTTACTGATGAAAAAATATTTCCTGGTTGATTAAATAATAACAGCAAAGCTCAGGCTGCTGAACGCTGCAGCGATATTATCCTCTAGCACCATCTGGTGAGGCAAGAGTGGATACACTGTGTGCAGAGAAAAACAGAGGGTGGATACTATTACAGCAGCAATGCAGGCCACACTGAATGCTTGAATAATAGCAAAACAAATAATCGCAAGCATGGCGAAATTATGAAAGCATCTGGACAGTCCCTTCTTGTGTGTGGTAGAACAAGAACTGATTCTCCCCTGAATATCCTGAAGGCATCTGCAAACTGCCTTAGAGCTGTATTAACAAACATGAATAAACAAAATAAAATGTTATTTTTGTGCTTGTGACTCTAACATCACAAAGAAAATGCTCAAAAACCGTATTGGTCACATATGGATAAACAATAAGCTTTCACAGTCAATGCAATATCCAGCAGCATTACAACATCCTTTTGCCCTGACACACATGCAGCTCACTTATGCAGAAGTATTCTCAACGTCTACGTATGTGAGAGGAAGCTGTATGTATGCACATCCTTAAATTCATGGAGAGAGAGAGGCCTGTTTGGGAGCCATCTTACTGCAGTTTGCACGTTGCGTAGCTGCAGAACGAGTGTGACTGTGAACATACCGGGTACTGCATATTCCTAAAAGTGTTGGCCCCATCGAGGAGATGGTTGCAAGGCTCACATTTCATCTCTCCTAAGAGTCCAAAACAGTGAAAATGAACAGTTTGCACAGAAGGTAAAACTAGATCAAACTGACTCAGCAGAATTTCAGATCCGTTCCAATTTGCTCATAATTCAATGCACAGATTGTGATGCAGCGCAGGAGTGAGCGACCTTGTCAGCACGCAAGCTGAGAGATCAGCTCGCGTCTCACTAACCTGATGGTTGCCTTGTTGCTGACAACTTAGCTTCCAGTTCTGTAATCAGCCGCTGCTGGTCTTCTATCTGCTTCTGAAGCTCCTGAGTGTATCGCTCATAATATTCAGTCTGGAAAAAAAAAAAAAAAGAGGTTTCTGTTATTTCTCTGGAACCAGTACATCCAGTGTGGTCATTGTCCAAACATGTGTGACGCATTTTCCAACACAAATATAACCAATAATCCTGCTATTTAACCAGTATAAAGTGGGTAAACACGCTTTGAAGCGAAGGAGGCGATGCAAGCTAACTCTGTGACGCATTATTTGCCTCATATCTGCTGGTGCAAAGTTTGAAATGGCTGTTCTCTTGTCGTTACCCTTTGCTGCAGCTCCTTTTTTGCATTGTCCTTTTCGATGGAGACCTGGCGATAAGCTTCAAAAGCTTTGTTGAGCTGGTCTCCGATGTTCCTTTCCATGCCTTGTGCTCCACATTCATCACTGACACAGCAGACATGAGCCCTACGAGGGAAATTACACAACGTTTTACAACACACCAACAACAACTTAGAAAAGAGACACTTAAAAACTCTGAAGCACCTTTCTATCTAGATGAAAAACAAGAGGGATTAGGACTTCTTTTTTTTTTTTTTTTGCTTGTTTTGTAACAAGCAAACAAGTTGTCTTCACACGCTTTAATAACAATAACCAAAGTGAAGAAATCCTTTAAGTGCTGCCAAATTATTTGGCTGATTTTAAATAAGTTACTGATCCAATGACAAAACTGAGCCAACACCGAGTAAACAAACTTCTTAATATCTGCTTATTACCAAAGAATACTGGCAGGCCCCTTGATTTAAAAAAAAAAAACTGCTATATTCACAGTTCAACCACAAATACCTCATTCTAGTCCTGTACGAAATGCTGATGACGAATCATGACAAATACATTAAGTTGCTCAATGAATGTGCAGTGTCTTGCACCACAACGTGTGGAGCTACAAACACACACACAGTACTTACATTGTCTGCTCTGATGTTCAAGACAACTGTTTAGAAATTATGGGACAACTCCACATTTACGGCTGCAAAGGGAAGATGATGATGATGATGCACAGCAAGGAGAGAGGCTGATGGCAAGTCTCACCAAGAGCTGCTCATCTATTATTGAGCAATCTTCTTGGTAAATGTCATAGTAACACAGGAGCTGTAAGTGACACCAGCAGCAGCTCCTGGAGCAGCAGTACCAGCTACAGGCGGAGTTAGAAAACACACAATAACACTGCCGGAGACGCAACACTGGCTCATTTTTTTAAAAGAGTAAATCTCCTACACACAGTTCCGTATTCTTTAAACTGGTTAGCCGTCGTCGCTCATTCAACCCGGTGTCGGATAGAAAAGCGAGCGAGCCAGAAGTCCCCCGGATCGGTTTACCTCGCTGCCAGCGTCCTCCTTACCTTCATTCGAGTAACTGTTAAAGTTTGCTGTTTTGCCACCACCGCAGCGTCGTCCTCTAACGTTCAGATGCAAAGTTACGAAGCTCCGGAGAGGATATGGCAATAATGTATGTTTTACATAGCCTGCTTGAGTTTGGGAACTTCCCTCGGGGAATCCCCTGCTCTGTAGACTTCCGCCTTTACTCGATGCGGACCAATCAGCGCGCAGCTCGGAGCGCCGCTGGTTCAGGGTTCTTCCAGCCTACGCGTCTGCAAACCGCCTGTTGTGCACAGAAAAACTGTCCCCAAAACTTCAGCAATGCTGGGCTCTTTTGTTTTTGCTTTCCAAAATTCTGTTCATTACATAATGAACATCGATCAGTTCTGAATATGTCAGTGTTTGATTTATTGTTAACACCTCTGAGACGGGCTTTAAGTGCAGCCAAGGTTTTGGTTTTATAGTGGGATAAAACTGAACTCCTACCAAGACCAATACAAGAAAGGACCCACTGCAGGCCAGAATACACACATCATTAAGACGAAACATGTATCGTAAAATAAACCAGACATCGTTGCATATTAAAAAAAAGCGAGTGAGTGGCTTGGTTCTATATAAATGAGCAATAAAAATAGCTGTTCAGTGCTCCCTATTATGTGCACAGTCTAGTGTTTCCTGCTGCAACCGGGTGTTCTAATGTGGCGTAAAGAGGGGGACAGTTCAGGTCTACTTTTGTAGTGATTTTATTAAACACCATTGTTTATGACTCCCCACTATATGAGCATGAGCTTTGAAACATGACAAGATATCAAAAGCAGATAACACAGAGCGTGCTTTGTGGTTTAGTGTTCACAGCAGTAAACAAATGTGCATTCAAAAAATGTGTGCAATGAGTTTGGAGGTTTTGGAGGCTTTTTGTTCAGCCTGCTTGGAGAATAGTCCAGCAAAGCAATAAGTCAAAATGTTTTACATAAGCCATAAAAAGACATTAAGACACATACAGCTATATACATGTAGGCCTAAGCATGGAATAACAGCTGTGCAGAGGGCCCAGTAGGTCCTAGTTCACTGTATGCCACTAGGTTTTTGTCCTCCTTCCTTTGCTAGTTTTGTTGTTTTGGTTGAACCTCTGTACCACTACAGACAAACAAATGCATACACACAGGACATGCACACACGGCCATATGTGCACATGGGCTCACACTCACTTAAACACAGTTAGGTATGGGGCAACCAATATGCAATAGATAGAGATAATACTGACAATCCAACATAAAACAGGTGTTTGTTACTGTGTTTTTTTCAGCATGAGCATTTACTTTGCTAACACTGATGCACTATGTCCTGCTGAATTTCTAAATTAATGTCCTTCCTGTTACAACTAATGCTTCAACGTTTCTCCAAACACTTGCTGCTTTATGGGGAGGTGCAATTAATATCTCAGATCTGCATTATCTTTGGCCTTGGCTAAATGCACGCATGTCCCAATCTGACCCAGCGAGGAGCAACCCCACAAATATGAGCAGCATCAAAAGAGTCACCAGTAGATGGCAGCTAAGAGAGACTGTTTGAGATGATGTGTCCTCTGAACTGCTTCAACTGGATGGTTACTGAAGAATCTGAGGGTTTAGAGGAGGCATGTGATGTGAGGCTATAAGCACCATATAAATCTACTGTACTCATGGATACGTGTCAGGATCTCTTGAGATGTTTTACGTGACTAATTATCTAATATTCTAATTGTTACCTCACCATGGCCAGAAGCTGGAATTTCTGATTAACATCTTTACCGCTTTCCTGTAAAAATGATGTCTGATTTCTGTGCTATTTACATTTTTACAGATAGGGAAGTATACATTTTGGTGAATGAACTTTCTCAGTTTCGTCCTGTAACTGATTTAATCGAGAGATGTCCGCAAATGACTTGTCTCCGTCATCGGTACGAGCATGACTTAGTGCAGACCTTCATGTGACCTGTCCATCACAGTGGGGCTCCAGCGAACAGGCTCCTCCAAGGGTCATTTCCCTCAGTCCTTTTACAGAGGTTCTCATCTCTGACCCTCACTGACATTCCAGCCTCAACCTCTGCTCCTCCTGAGAATGACTTACAGACCCAAAGCGCCACAAACAACCCCGATTCAACGCTCCTCGAGGAGAGCGCCAGGACATCTTAAGGGTTTCACATATTTTTTCACAGTTGCTTTGAACTCGTGGCAATCTGACATAACCCCTGTCTTGTGGTTCTTGTGAACAAAAAATGTCATTGAGACTGTGGTATACTGATAAGCAATGATGTTACTACTGAACACAGAGTAAGGCATATGAGTCATTTCAATGACCACATAATCATTCACCTCAAGTACCATTTTCTCTTTCTGTTCAGTCCTCAATTCTCCCTTTGTTCATATTTCCTAAGGAGGAAATTTTGTTACTCAACTGGCTGATCGGGACATTAATATGTAACCAAAACTTTAAAAACAACTGAAATATATCTGCAACACGCTCTTTGCTCTTTACCAACTCTGCTCAGTGTGTCCGAGTGAGAATAAACCGCGCTAAAGATGACTGCAAACGCGATGAGACAGATTTATGAATGCACTCTGTTCCCTTTCATATGGTGATCTGCTCCGTTTGATTTCTTTTTTTTCCTCTTTCTGGTACTGAATGCACTTTCTTTGCTCTCCCTTGTGCTACCCATAAATCATAATTGCCTCCACAAAGTTCCACAATGCATTACTGTTTTCTAGCCACATAGGCAGAAAGGCGTGCACGCCATCATTTATCTCGCATTTCACAGTGAAGAATTTCCGTCAACTATAAGTGCATTTCCTGCATCGCGAGACCACAGTATATCTGCACTCCACAAACCCAAACACGCTGAAAGACAAGTAAGTCGAAGAGGAATACAAAGGTGCTGTGTGTTGATTGCAACCCACTGATAACCTTCAGACCTGCAATCAATCTCTGTTACATGCAGCCATTTAAAACAGACTTATACAGTATGCCGTAAAGCAAACAGAGACATGCTTTTCTGTTGAGAAATGAATCTCCCAAAGCTATTTTTGTCATATACCCTGACCTCACTACTTACAGCGGGGCATCAGTGGTGCAGAGAGGCCTCATAAATTTCAGCACAAATGATCTCTGGGGAGATGTGTTGTCCTTCTCCAGCATCACCAGGGTATATGGATTTTATTTGCCCTTTGTCCACTATAGGACAATGTTGTATGTGGCTCATTGAATTACATACGTCTGTCATCTCCGCAATTAGCAGGATCAGAAGATTATTCGTATGCTCGGTACCCTGGTGCCTCAGCTGATGTAATCATCTAACATTATATTCCCCAGGCAGACAATCTCATTGTCCTTTGTGATGTGTCAGTGGTGGAACAGGACACTAAGCATGCTGTTGTAGGGGGGCATTTTAAATACACACCACACTGGAGCCTGGCTCAGCAGTAAATCTCGAGCCACTGAAGGGTCCATCCATGTTTCCTCCATGTCTAGCAAAATAAACAATCTGCTGTAGGTCTGCAGAAACCTGAGATCAGACAGAGGGCAGAGCTGAGGACTCTGGCATGCAGGGGGAGGAGGGGAGAGGAGGAATGTAGGGGGAAACACACAGATCAGATTTCAGCAGCCCAGGGAGAGGTGAAGGAGAGTGAAAAGAAAACCTGGCTGTCAGGAGACCCACAAACTACACATGAAAGGGAAATGATAATGGTGATAATAAAAAATAATGCCACATGTTCTCTTCCTAAAAATGCATCGTGTTGCGTCATTTATTCAGTCAGTTACATTGTTTGAACTGTATATCTCATATACAAAGCGGTGCATTTATTCCTGAAATATGTGAAAGTAGGTGTGTTAAACATCAGAGCAGACCAGTGAGCCACTTTCCATCAGCAGCTAAAGCTGCAGACAATACTGTTTTGAATGAGAGTCTTGCCTCAGGGGCTTCCTGCTATTTGAAGATGGTGGGGTGGGGATGAATATGTTGAAAATCTCTGAGAAGATTCCATAGTTCTGAGAATTTCACACAATTAGTCATTATAGTCTCAGTCTTTACAGGGGCTTTTATGCTTGTCAGCTGCACTGAACTTTTAAAGACCTGATGTAGACTAAAGGATTTATTGAGATAATATACCAAATCCCAGACAACAGATCTAACTGTAGCATCTAGTCATAAATCACAATGCTTATTTCTACACTAACTGTGACCTAGAAAACATGTCGCTCTTTACAGTTTTGACGGCGCCGAAATACTGCGAGAAGACTTTCCTGCCTGCTTATAGAATTTCCTGATTGATAGCAAGAGGAAGTTGTCTCCTTGTTCCTGTGCACATAAGAGCTAAACCACAAACCTCTCATTGAACAATATGTAGTTTGTACTTTATACAAGTTAGGGAGCGTGAACCAAACTAAATCTACCATCCCTGAACAGCTTAAGGGTTGATTAATCATATATTCTTTTTCTTCAAGTATCACGTAATCAGTTTGATGCAAAAAAAGAAAGAAAGAAAAAAAAGTTTTCTTTCACTTTTGATGACACATTTTAAAACTGCTGCGGTAAACACAACACTTTCACTCTTGGTCATATGTAATTAAAAATATATTTTATCTTAGTTAAATTTAGGTCAGTGCTGAGTTTAGGCAACGTGCAAGGGTCCAGGTGAGCAAACAATTTATTACCTGGCCGTGCTCAAACACGTGCATTGATTTCTAATTTGTCAGCATAAGATAAGGCATTTTGAACATTCAAAATCAATAGTCACATGGAAGCGAACGGTCACAGGGCTGTGTGTGTGTGTGGGCTTCCCATGCAGGGTGAGATTCAGCTGATACGGATGTGATGGGAAGATTCGAATGACTGTGTCTTCATGGGAAAAGTTGGAGTGAACACATATTCCCACAGTATTCCCAATACCTGCAAACCAATAGTGTGCGGGTCTGAATATACTGTATGTTTGTAAAGGGTTGGTTGGATCTGATGAGACGTGTGGGTTGTTGTCAGATG